ACTTATATCTAGAATTTATAAAATACTTGAGCACCACAACAAAATAAAGGTAAATAATCCAATTGAAAAATGGGCACGGGATATGAACAGACACTTCACCAAGGAAGACATTCAGATGGCCAACAAGCACATGAAGAAATGTTCAAAATCCCTAGCTCTGAGAGAGATACAAATCAAGACAACCATGAGATATCATCTCACTCCAGTAGGACTAGCAAAATTTAACAGAACAGCAAGCAACAAATGCTGGCGAGGTTGTGGAGAGACTGGAACCCTTATTCACTGTTGATGGGAGTGTAAAATGGTGCAACCACTGTGGAAAGTGATGTGGCGCTTTCTCGAAAAGTTGCAAATAGAGATACCATTTGACCCAGCAATTCCACTACTGGGAATATACCCTAAAGAGACCATAAATGGCATCCAAGTAGATATATGCATACCCATGTTTATTGCAGCTTTGTTTACAATAGCAAGGAGTTGGAAACAACCTAAATGCCCATCAACAAACGAATGGGTAGAGAAGCTGTAGTATATTCGCACAATGGAATATTATGCTGCATTGAAAAACAAGGAACTCATGCAATATTATTTAAAATGGGTGACCCTAGAGGACATTATGCAGAGTGAGGTATCTCAGTCACAAAAGGACAAATGCTATATGGTGCCACTGTTGTAGAAAGAGGCTGACATTGGGATGTGGGTAAGACTAAGAAAAACTGGATGAAATATGTTTACGGCATTGAAGTCTATGAGGGCGAGAATAGTTTAAAAGTATTATATTTTAGGGCATTATGTTAGCATAAGAGTACGGAATGAGGGTTGCAGAGTGGATTATATTTGGGTTTGGGGGTGTGGTTGGGGGATGTGCAGGGGCGATTGTGTACCAATGAGGGAGTTTTACTTTTGCTTTTGAAGGAGAGGAGCAAATGGGGAAGGGGGCAGAGAGAAGGGTGCAGCAATGAATGAATGGAATTCCAAAATCTCTGTAGGTGTTCATTGAAATGAAAAATTAATTAATTAATTAATTAAAAAAACCCAAACAAACTTCTTAACCTTCTATACTTTCTTTTTTTATGTTCCACTAACATAACTTAGGGAGGTCTGGTGGCCTCGTGGCAAGAAGCTGTGGGTGTGAGGTTTGAGGCCACCAGCTACTCCACAGGAGAATGGGCAATCTCCTCCCTTTCAATTAACTGCCTCTGAAACCCACTGGAAAGTTAGCTATCTTTGGTTCCGACTCGACGGTAGACAACAACACAACATATGTTCCACTAACCATCCTACCATTGCTCCTCTATGTTTTCTAATGATTCTCTTACTGTGGTTCTAACTGCCATTGTTCAATGAGTTCTTCCTTATTACGCTTGTTCCCCAGCCCTAATCTTGTTCTGAATTCCAGTACCTTATTTCTTTCTCTCTTGCATCCCTGTATATCCCTCAAGTTTTAAATTTAACATATCTAAAAATGATCTAATTATCTTCTCTCTCCAAACTTCCTCTGTCATCATTTCTCCCTAATCCAGTTAAGGCTGTCACTATTCAGTCTCCCAAACTCAAATTTTCAAAATTTCTTTCAGACTTGGTGTTCCTTTGCTGCCTGCATTCAGTCAGTCAGTCATCAATCCTGTTATTTCCATCTCAGAAATGCCACTTGAGTCATTTTATTTATTTTTTCTATCTTACCTGGTCCTGTTGTGTCTATCATCTCTTACTTTAATGCTGTGGATTCCATGCTATTATTTCCACCATTTTTTCTCCTCAGTATTCAATCTCTTCTCCACATTATAACAAAGGTAATGTAATAATAAACAATAATCATTTATTCTCTATTTCCTGAAAGAAAAGGTCCAAAGTTCTTAAAGTGATGTATAAAGCTGCTCTTAATCTAAACTTATTTTCGGTGTTTGACCTACTTTATTTTCTCACTAACCACCCATGCAGAGCTAAGTAAGACTCTTTACAACATCTCATATTTTCACATCAATACTTTTATGTATGTAGTCTCTAACCTGGAATTCTATCTGCCTTGAAAACTCAACCATCATTGGTGGTGTATAGCTCCATAGTATATATTTCTGAGCAGTATGATATGGTAGTAAGGGTCTGTGTTCTGATTGTCACCACCTAGTGTAAAGTTCTTTTCTTATAAAATTAATAACTGATTAATTTTTTTAATTTTTTATTGTATTATTTTTACGTGTACCGTCAAATCAGATCTGACTGATACAGGAGGAGATTGCACCCTCCTTCTCCAGCAGAGCATCTGGTGGATTTGAACCGCGTACCTCTGGGATTGCAGTGCAGCGTCTTGCCACTAGGCCACCAGAGCTCCCTTAATAACTGATTAATTTAATTATTGGCTACCTTATATGATTCTAGAAGATTGAAAAAGTTTATATATAGTGCTAACAACAGTAACTGTTTCATAATAAGTAGAAACTAAATATTTGCAGTTTCCTCTACTAAGAGGAACACTCTCAAAAAGATGTCATTAGTGTTATGTATCGTCAAGTTGCCTGTAGTTCATAGCAACCCTTTGCACACCAAGCCACTAGGGAATTAGCAAGTCTCATCATTAAATTGAGTGGCTCCAGCAACAGAAAAGGAGAAAGATCCCCACCCCCAGCAAAGAAAAAGTTAGAAAATGCTATGTATCCTCAGGATATGAGAAGATTCTTGTGCCAGACAGATTAGAGCCTATGGGAGCAGCAGCTATAGCAGCCACAGCAAAGAATGAGACCTTACATGAGATGGAGTGAACCTTAGCACTGCTACCCCACAGAGACAGACCTAAAAGCCTTTGTTCAAGTTTGTTGGACAACTGGGGGATAGGAAAATGGTGTGTGTGGATCTATTTTTGCTGAAAACTTTATTACAATTGTTTACAGCCATGACACTCAAGTCTGAGGCACCTGTGAGCATATTTCAGAAGCCGTCCTGACTGTATTCTGCCACTAACCTGGATTATATATAACCATTTAATTTCCTCAATATGGTCCTAAGTTGTTGTGTGGTCTGTGAGCTATTGCATCAGATTTTGGACCTAGTAAAACAGTACATTTAGTGTTGAGATGAGTAGAAAGAGGTGCAGGAGTATGGGAGACATGCCTGACCTCATGGGATTTGGTTTGGTGGTGTTGATATTGTTGACAAGGACAGTTTGCTTTTGTGAAGTTGGGCACACTTGAGTTGATTATGGTATTTTCTCTACTCACGAGAGAAATGTGTGGGCTTGCAAATGACTCAGGGTAATAAGTGAAAGATAATTTTGCAAAGTAGCATTTACCTTTTTAAGAGAATGAATAAGGCTTAATGTAAAAATCTTGAGGAAAATAATAGGAAGCAGTCATAAGACAACCAATATCTAAATGTCATTCTTAGAAACAGGAATGTGTATTTATTATTGATATATTTACATTTATTTTCATAATGTTTCTGAAAAAATATGTAATGCATTTACAACCAAGGATGTCAGGTGTACATCCACATAGTCAGACATTTGAAAGTGAAGAAGAACATGTAAAGACACCGAATAGAAATGAGGAAGGAATAGAGGAAATGAATAATAAAAAACATCTTGAGATTTTTAAGCACTTGAAGTTTGCTGAACTCATTCACATTGCTGTCAAGTTGGAACCATCTCATAGCTGACTCTTCACTGGATTTTCAATGCTGTTTAATCACTTAGGAGGAAATTGCCCATTTTTCTTCAGTGAAGCTGCTTGTAGATTCTAACCAACAGAAAAACATGATTTTGAGTTGTCAGGACAGCTCCCTAATGACTGTGTTACTTGTCTCATGTGTTAGAGGGGAAAGAACTTTGGAGTTTAATATGAACTAATTTTTTAAAATTATTCAATTTTTTTAAATTAATATACATTTTGTTTCATACGTGTACATTGTGTCTTTTGTTTACAGTGTATTTCTTTCATTTATATTGATTTCTTTTAACGATTACTTGTCTACTCGTGCGTGTGAGTAAGGTTGGGCAAATCCTTTAACTGTCCGGATTTTTCATCTCTGAAATATGAATAAAGCATTGCTTAGTGATCTACAAATAATGTATAAACAAAATCCACTGCCATCAAATTGATTCTGACTCTGTTAGATTGGCAAGGCTGTAAAAATTTCTAAAAAGAAACTACCCATTGTTTTTCCAAGTTGTAGCTGATGGATTCAAACCCCTGACCTTTTGATTAGCAGTCTAACACTTAACACACAACACCACCAGCATTCCTTTTGTACATATAGTTGAGTACCATCAAGTTGGAATCAACACTTAGCTGCCCTTCCAATGAGTTTTCAGAGACTGTTATTCACATGGGAGGAGATTGCCCATCCTTCTCCCACAGAGCAGCTGATGGATTTGAACCACATGCCTTTGAGACTGCAGTGCAGTTTCTTACCACTCGTGCACCAGAATTCCCTTTTGTACATGTAGAGTCTTTCTAAATTCTAAATTACTTCAAAGAAACCGTAGGGGTATACCAAGTATATGTTATGCAGCTAACTGGAAAAGTCAGCAGCTTGAATCCACCTGCTGCTCTGAGAAAGAAAGATGAAGCAGTCTATTACTGGATGACTTACAGCCTTGGCAACGCAATAGTCACCATGAGTCAGAATTAACTGAATGTCACTGAGTTTCTATTGCCTATACAAGTTTCAGAAATTACAGCAACAATTAACTCAGAAATCAAAGATTTCATAGGCCATTTCAAAGGTAAACTGGAGCGATACAACTATTCTCATTTTATTCCTGAGGTCACAGAGATGTAAAAGGTAACAGCCAAAACTGCTCTCTGGTTTCCGAGTTCAGCTGTGGACTTAAGGCAATGGTTCTCCTGTACCACAGTGTAGTGTGTACATCACACAAAAGGCACAGCCCTAGTAAAACTGATTTTTAAAATGTTAGGATTTTATTTTAGTTATGAATTATTTTAGTAAGAAATGCTAAGTGATCTCTTCCTCTTTTGTTCCCTGCCCCTCTGTTTTAATTGCAGGTAATGAATTTGGGCATCCCGAATGGTTAGACTTCCCAAGAAAGGGAAACAATGAAAGTTACCATTATGCCAGAAGGCAGTTTCATTTAGCTGATGATGACCTTCTCCGCTATAAATTCCTAAATAACTTTGACAGGGATATGAATAAATTGGAAGAAAGATGTGGTTGGCTTTCAGCTCCACAGGTAAGCTCTTTACTCTAAATGTGATGCTTTTGTCACCAGTGTTGTGCATGCTTAGAATGGCAATCTATTTAAATCTATATGCAGATCTTTTAAACAGCCCTTTATTATTCGGTATGTAGAGCCTTGTAACATGCTTCAGGTTGTCAAAATATGTCATAGAAGTTGCACTAATAGATAATGAAATCTTAAACCTGAAGTCCTGCTTACCTTCCTTGTTAGTTTGTTGTGTAAATTTAGTAATTTTTATTTCAATTGGTTAAAATAAATGACAAAAACTCTGCATGGAATCCATTTTGGAAATTGCTGTGGAAACATCTTAATTGTTTTGGCTGTTTTTCTTTATATAAATAATTATGCTGTCATAAAGAAACTATTTTAGAAACATGGGGATTATTCCCATCCTCCCCCTTTTCTCCTTCTTTTCTGGTCTCTAACTTGTCATTTCAATAGATCCCATTATACCTGCATGCTGTTTTGTATTTTTCATGAGGCTGACTCTGCTCTGGAATTAAAGTCTCAGTTTTCAATAAGTTTAGAAAATGTAATTAACACGTGCAAATTTTATACAGGCTTTTTTTCTTGCAGAAATTAGCATATAGTATGTGTTAGTTATAATCCATTTACTTTATACCTGTGCTGTTTGAAATTACTGTTGATCTGTTTTTTACTTTGGTGTGTATGATTTTTTTTTTAAATGGTTGAACAAAGGTGCTTATATATTCAGTAAGATTGACTACATGACAGGAATGCCCTAATCACATTTATTAGTAATGCTATTTCCAGGAGAGAGAGCAAAATGATGTTCCTTTTCAATAGGAACAATGTTGAATACCAAAAGGCACATTGTTTACTCTAGAGCCTTAGTTCACATTCTAAATTACCTGGAGTGGTGTTGCTGATATGCATGGAAATAAGTCCTCTCAAAGCTGGAGCTGAGAGAGGAAAATATTGAAAAAAGCAAAGACCTCTCACTGCCAGCTTTAAAACACATGTATATAATAGTTTTTAGATATTGTAGTTTATTTTCAAATTTTCCCATACACACACTATCTCTACTTAAAATCCTGTAGCAATTGATTAATTGCAACTTGTAGCAACACTGTAGGATTGGGTAGAGCTGTCCTGTGTATAAGACCCAATTTTAATCATTACACAAGCAGACTGACACATCTCTCCTGTAGAGCAGCTGATAGATTTGAACCACTGACCTTTTGATTGGCAAACAAAGGTCTGCTCAGTGTACCACCAGACCTTTTGTTCAGACACACACAAACTGTAATGGGCTTTCATTGTTATTAAATCTAACGTGTGGTAAAATGTAGAATTCTAAATATAACTACAGTTTTGGATATTTAGATAAAATAACACTGTTACATTATATTTTTTAAGTGATTTTATGGGCCTTAACATATTATTTGAAAAAAATAATACATTTTAAAGTCTTAGAAAACAGTAAGCTTAGGAAGCTCTGGTAGCCTACTCCATATTTAAATCAAAAGCCTGTGTGGTCTAGTGGTTTGAATCCACCTGTGTCTTAGATAAAAAAGATGGCCTTCTCATCCTGTTAAGATTTAAAGTCACATAAACCTAATTGTTGCTGTAAATTTTTATTAACTAGATGTCATTGGGTTTGTTTGGCTACATGGTCAAAGCCCTTAGTGGTTAGATGCTAAAATATTGCTATACCTTGGAAGAACCGCCTGATGATCTACTTCTGAAAACCCACCCATTGAAAACACTTTGGAGTCCATTCCTACTCTGACATAAATGGGGTCATCATGACTTAGGGTTGAATTACAAGAAATTAGCTGGCTTTAATGCATGCCCATATGCAGATACTTTAGAAGAATCATGTGTTTACCTAAACTTTAAAGTGCAAGCTCATCCTTTTATTTTACTTTATTTTATATTGGTAATTAACAGTGGAGTTTTTATACGCTATTGAAATGATCATTACAAAGACAGAAGAGGAAGAAAAGACCAAAATGAAGAAACTCTGAAGATTGCACTGGATGGAGCTCAGAGAAGCCAAAGCACAGCGAAGAATTCAAGATACTAAAGAGCTGAACAGAAGATTCCAAAAGGCAGCACGGAATGACAAAGAAAAATATGAAAACAAAATGTGTGAGGAGCTAGAGTTGGAAAATCAAAAGGGCCGAACTCGTTCAGCATTTCTTAAGCTCAAGGAACTAAAGAACAAATTCTAACCTTAAGTTGCTATAATCAAGGTGCTTTAGGCAGAATATTAAATGATCCAGGAAGTATTAAAAGAAGATGGAAGGAATATACTGAGTCATTGTATCGAAAGGAATTGGCAGATAGAGAAGAATTTAATGAAATAACATTTGAGCAAGAACCTATGGTGATGAAGGAAGAAGTTCAAGCTGCTTTGAAGGAAATAGCAAAAAATAAGGCCCCAAGAATAGATGGTATACCAATTGAAGTATTTCAGCTAACAGCTGCTGCCGTGGATGTGCTCAACAAGTTGTGCCAAGAAATCTGGAGAACAACCACTTGGCCAACTGACTGGAAGAGATCTATATTTGTTCCATTCCAAAGAAGGGTGACCCAACAGAGTGTGGAAACTCCAGAACAATATCATTGATTTCACATGCAAGCAAGATTCTGCTGAAGATTATCCAAAAACGACTGGAACAGTACATCAACAGAGAACTGCGAGAAGTCCAGGCTGGGTTTAGAAGGGGTTGTGGTACTAGGGATATTGTAGCTGATGTTAGATGGATCTTAGCTGAAAGCAGGGAATACCAGAAGAATGTCTATCTGTGTTTCATTGATTATACAGAGGCATTTGACTGTGTGGATCATAACAAACTGTGGCTGACTCTGAGAAGAATCGGAATCCCAGAACATTTAATTGTGCTAATATGAAACCTATATACTTGGAATGAGAGGCAGTCGTCAGAACAGAGCAGGGCAACACTGCATGGTTCAAAATTGGGAAGGGTGTACACCAGGGATGTGTCCTATCTCCATACATTTTCAACCTGTATGCAGAGCAGATTATCCGAGAGGCTGGGCTCTATTAGGAAAAGTCTAGCATCAGGATTGACGGAAAGTTTATTAACTATTTGTCTTATGCAGACGACACAACCCTGCTTGCTGAAACGGAGGAGGACCTTATAAACTTGCTGCATAGGGTCAAGGACTGCCGCCTTCAGTATAGACTGAGGCTCAATGTCAAGAAGACAAAGATTCTCACCACTGGACCAATTGGCAGCATCAGGATGGATGGCGAAGAGATTGAGATTGTTCACAGCTTCAGTTTGCTCAGCTCCACGGTCAACACTCTTGGCACCAGCAGCCAGGAAATAAAAAAATGTATTGTGATAAGAAAGTCTGCTGTTAGGGACCTCTCTAAAGTACTCAAGAGCAATGGTATCTCTCTGGAGACTAAGGCCCACCTGATAAAAGCCATGGTCTTTGCAATCACTTGTTATGCATCAGAGAGTTGTACAATGACGAGGGAGGATAGAAGTAGAAGTGATGCTTTGAGCTGTGGTGCTGGAGAAGAGTATTGAATGTACCATGAACTGCCAAGAAAACAGATTCATCCTGGAGAGGGTTAGGCCAGGCTACTGCTTGGAGGCAAGGATTCTGGGGCTTCGTCTGACATACTTTGGACATGTTGCCAGGAGGGATGGGTCCTTGGATAGGGACATCATGCTTGGAAGGGTGGAAGGACAGCACAGGAGGGGAAGACCCTCTATGAGGTGGATTGATTCAGTGACTGGGGTAATTGGGATGGGTGTGTCAGAGGCAGTGCGTTTGGCACAGTAGAGCAGGGTTTAGGGATGTTGTACATAGGGTCACTGTGAGTCGCAAACGACTCCATGGCACATAACAACGTTGAAACAAATTGTGAGATTCTTTTGTTTTAGACTTTGATATGACAAAATTGGAACGTAATGTTAAAAAATCGTATACCAGCATTTTCATTTCTGGTCTTAAGACTAATAAGTCTATTACAAATTACATGTACTTAATAAAACAATAGTTTTATTGTTTCCAAATAATAACTAGCAGTAACTAGTATTATTTAATTTCATAATCATGCTCTTTCTTTCAGGCCTATGTGAGTGAAAAGCATGAAGCCAATAAGGTAATCGCTTTTGAGAGAGCAAATCTTCTTTTTATTTTCAACTTCCATCCAAGCAAGAGCTATACAGATTACCGAGTTGGAACATCATTGCCGGGGAAATATCCTTTTTGTGGCCAATGAATATGATGTTTGCATCAATTTTATTTTAAGGATTACATCTCATAATATATTTAAATAAAAAAACAAACCCAAACAATGGTCATATACTGAACTAGTTGATAAGGAGCCCTCCGTTTCCTCATTTGAAAAATGTGGAGTTTGAAATAGTTGGTTTATGAATTTTGGCTCTGCTGAATGACACTAACATATTCCTTTTTTTTATTTTTCTACTACTTTATTTACAAAATTCAAATACAAATTTGAACAAATTCTTTCTATTTCCATCAAACCCCCCATCAAATTGTACAACCCAATGATTAATTCCCCCTCTGCCTGAACATCCTTATCCCTCTGTTTCCAATCTCTCCCGCTCCTCCTGGATCCTTATACACATTCTACAATAATGGATTTATACAATATTTATCCTTATGTGAACTGAGTTCGTTTACTCAGCATAATGCTGTCCAGTCCCTCCCAAGTTAGATAATAATTCACAAAGTTATTGCTCCTGGGTGCTGCATAGTATTCCACTGTGTGAATGTACCATAATTTCTCAATCCATTCGTTTGTGGTTGGGCATTTGAGCTGTTTCCATGTTCTTCCAATGATGAATAATGCTGCTATGAACATTGGTGTACAAATCTCAGTTCGTGCCTTAGTTCTCACATTCTCAGGGTATATTCCAAGCAGTAGAATAGCTGGGTCATATAATTTCTCTGTTCAGATTGTTGAGGAAGCGCCAAACTGCCTTCCAGAATGGTTGCACCATTTTACAGTCCCGTCAACAGTGTAGAAGAGTTCCTTTCTCGCCACATCCTCTCCATCATCTATTACTTGCTGCCCTGTTAAACTTTGCCACTCAGTACTGGAGTGAGATGGTGCCTACTTGTGGTTTTTCATTTGTTTCTCTCTTATTGCCAATGATTTGGAGCATCTCTGCATGTGTCTGTTTGCCATTTGAATATCTTCATCTATGAAAATTCTTTGCATGTCTTTTGCCCATTTTGTAATTGGGTTATCAGTCTTTTCCTTGTGGAGGCCCATGAGTATTCTGTAAACTTTTGTTATGAGACTCTTGTCTGAGATGGAATTACCAAATGTTTGTTTCCAGTCTGTAGGTTTTCTTTTCACCCTCTTGGAAAAAGCTTTTGATGTGCATAGAGATTTAATCTTCAGAAGACCCCATGCATCAATTTTATCCTGTTTAGAATGTGCATTTCTGGTTATATTTGGCAGTGTCTTTATACCTTGGATGAGCGCTTCTAAGCTTGATCCCAGTTTGTCTCTTAAGAACATTAAGAACACTAACATATTCTTAAAGTTCCTTCTATTTCTCAAGAGTACAATGCTGACCATTTAAAAATAATATATATAAGTCCAGGTGTTAAGAAATTGTAGTTTTTCTTTATAAAAATATTTTATAGCTTGCTTCTAAGATGGTTGTCTTCTTCCTAAGTGAGAGAAGAAAGCAATCACGGAAGTCTGTGTGTCAATATATCTTCAATAGTGACTAAACAACAAAAACAAAATTTCTTTAACTGACCCTAGCAAAAAGAAAGCATGTATATTATGTTAGTATCAGTAGTTACAGGTAGATTATCACCAAAGTTCTGTTAATATCATCAAGATACCAGGTGTTTTCTATCACTTTACATTCTAACTAACCTATAGTATGTCAACAGTTTCTAAAAGAAGCACTTGATACAGTCACAGAACAACAGCCTCAGTTCTCAATGTCATGTTCAGACACACCAAAACACAAAACAGATCTTCTACCAACATTTCTTTCATAGTCTATTGATTAGATTTGGACATCACTAGAAAAATCTTCAGAAAGGGAAACAAGATCACCATGCTTAAACTAATTGGCTCTTTAGAAAAATTCTAATCTGATTATAATAAGAATTTACTCCCACGTCTCCTAAGAAAGAGACTCCTCAGTGAGTTGGACATGCACAATGTTCCTCAGTCTCTAAGTAGGAATTTCCCAGTGCTGTTCATTAATTAGCTAGTGGAGTCTGCTGCTTCCCCATGCGTCATTATGACATCTTGAGTCGGGAGACATACTTCTCTACCTTCTCCCCCCTCGTAGCAGATAACATAAGGAGAGGCAGTTGTGGCTGTGATAGCAGGCGTACATGTGTCCAAGTTAACTTTCCCAAAGAGACATGTAACAGAAACCAATGCCATGGAGTTTCGTGCACTAAACCAGTGTTATTCTCTTAAAGAAACGAATTTCTTAGCTATCTCCTCGAAGAAATATAAGAACACACCACACATGTAGTTACTCATGCATGTCAATTCTCAGCCCCAAATTGCTAGCTAGTGTCCCTGCATGCTCTTAATTAAGTAAATAAGAATTAATTTCTAGAATATGTAGAATATTGAAGAATGTGAAAAATAAGCACTGTTCTTGATTCTAAGTAAGGGAGAAAGAGATATAAACCCAAACTGTCCTGTGAGACAAACACATCAAGAAATGGGAAAGGAATAGACCTGTTCCATGGAAGAAGAGAGTACAAGGAATAGAATAAAAATATAATAAAAAATTAAAATGAGAGAACAAAAGAGACAGTAAAGGGAAAATCTATAAACTTAGAGTGAAAGATGAAAAGGATCATATCAGGGGAAAGAAAGAGCAAAAGAGACTGCTTTTAAAATTCAAATGGCCTTAGCAGAAATAATAATGTATTTTAGGAACAGCCTCTACGAATACTCAAAAAAAATGTATTAAAGATTTAATGCACTGATGATTTAGTGGATGTTTTGTAAGGGATTTTTTTAATTTTAATTTTCAAAATTATATTTGTTAGAAGGCCATGCAGCAGAAGACCAGTTCTAGCATACCCCAGCTTGTAACTAATCATATGTTCCATCGCCAATATTAACTCCTAGATTGAAATCATACAGTTTTCCAGGTTTTGAGAAGTACTATATATGAGCATTCTAGTTCACGGCAGAGATATCTTCTATAACTTTCTTTAGGAAAATGCTAATATTTATTGAAATAATTTCCAGCCCTATAAATATTGCTATTTTACAAGGTAAAATTTTCAAGATTTAAGACACTTTTTAATTAAACACTATATTGCAATATTAAACTATATATAATAAGAAATAAGAAAGTTAAATCTTTGGGATGTTAACCAGAGATCTTTACTCTGCATCTACTCAGGTGAGTCTAGAGCCTGTCCTACATGGAGACAGTCACATCAGAAAGGTGTTCCATGTGTTCCTTGCAGTACCCACTCTCCCGTGCCTTCCCTTTTCCTAACCAAGTACTTTTGGTTTTCTTAGTGGAGTCTCCTGATACTTTTTTAGATTATATACTATATATCCAATTTATGAAAATATATTCAGTATTTTTCACATTCCTCTTATATCTCCAGACCCAACAGTACAATATTACAGATATGGCCTGGCAAGTCCAACAAAGGGTGCTCCGTTACTCCCGTTGTCTTGATGCTCCTCTCTTATTAATACAGTTAATGGTACAGTGATTCTCTGAGCAGTCACCACATTCTCCTCCTATTCTGAACAGGCATTCAAGTTGAAAGCTTTAGTTTTTCTTTATGTGTAATATTAGTATATTGAAGCTCTATTAGATTTTATTTCACTTATAATTTTACATAAAATCATTTATTTACTATTGAACTTGTAAAATGCATAGTATTTTTACCTCTCTGGTGGCCCAGGGGTAAGAAACTGGGCTGCAATCCCAAAGGCACACTGTTGGATTCCACCAGCTGCACTAAGGAAGAAGGATGAGCAATGTCCTCCCACACACTTTACTGCCTCTGAGTAATCCACTGGACGGTCAGTTATGGATCAATTCTAGTTTGAGGGCCCAGAATAACTCAAACAATTAATAGAAGATAAAAGAAATGCTAATTGCAAGAGTTTTGTATTATTAACCGGTTACCATTGTACCATCTTCCATAAGCATTAGATAAATAAATTATCTCCATTTATTTCAAGCTTAGCTTTAAGTGCCTTTTAAAAATTATATCTCTAGCATTTTACATGTGTTTATTGTTTCTGATCTTTCATCTTCCTATTTCCTTGTACCATGTATTTCACTTGAACATTATAGAATTGCTTCAGATATAGGGAAAATATTTCTTGAAGAATTAGATCTTAACTAGTCTTTGAAAACTAGCTGAAGGGTCAGCTATGAGTTGGTTCTGACTTGATGGTAAACAACAACAACAACAGCAATACTGTTCTATCTGACTTTACCACAGTATTGTATGCAATAGGTATTTCCAGCTACTGAACAATTAAAGTCCATACAGAGTTTCACTGTAAAGAATCAACAGTGGCAAGTTTTAATGTATCTAGAAAGCATGAAATTCATCATCTTTTTTTACTTCTCTGGGCAGTGAAACTTGGTGCTAGAAGAAAATTTAAATATCTAAAGATGTCAGGATGTAATTTAATTGGTCTTTTTCATTACTTATAATCTTGCTAGTATAAAGAGCCCAGGATGCACAGTGGCTGCCTACTTGGCTGCTCACACAAAAGTCAGGAGTTCAAAAGTATTTTTCCTTGCAAAGAGGGACCAGAAAGGATGCCTACTGTCACTACTTCTATTCAGTATTGTAGTGGAAGTGTTTGTTAGGGCAATAAAACAAGAGAAGGAAATAAAAGGCATCCAGATAAGCAAAGAGTTGGTTAAACTATCACTATATGCAGATGATATGGTAGCATACACAGAAAACCCCAAAGACTTAACAACAACAGCAACCAAAAAAGAAAAAAAAACAAACCAGAATAACATTAGAGTTCATAGTCCAAATTAGTAGAGTAGCAGGATATACGGTCAATATCCAAAAATCAGAGGGATTCCTCTCTATTAACAAAGAGAACTCAGAGAAGGAAACCAAGAAAGCAATACATTTTACAAGAGCCAAATACAAATTGAGATACTTGGGAGTGAACCTAACTAGAGATACAAAAGATCTATACAAACAAACAAAAAAAAACCAAAAGAACAAAC